GATTACATTGTTTTAATCCAATTTATAGTACTGGTACGTAAGTCAGCATGCAAGCCTTACTCTATGTTCTAGGATTATTTGCACATTTCTTTGTAAAGGATCATCATTCTGCTATGATCTATTATAACACTTGGAGAACAGGGGATTGTCATCTTAGTAGCATTGCCAATATGGGCAAAACTCTGCCATCAATAGCACAAAGCTATTCCCTGCTCAGGTGGCCAAAAGATTTATTGGCACCCTGAAAGCTCTCCACAAATAACATCTGTCTAGTTGTTATTTGTAACATGGCCGTGCTTGGCTAATGCTTGATGGGACCTGGCAGAGATGGGATCATGCAGGCTGTGGCTTAAGGTCCACATTTTTATTTTACAGGATGTACTTCTTAGAAGTGGTCTCACTGTAACAAAGCCATTTAATATCATCTACATCAGTATGACAAGAATGTCTTCAATAAACTGCAGAAAAACCTAGAAGAATCACTTAATCCACATTGTCTTTGCTTAAAAACAAAAGAAGAGACCTCACAGTGAAACCAGTCTGGAAGAAAATATTTTATTTTGGCTTGTGTCTCTCCATGCTTTTTAAAAATTAAGTATGTGATTGAACTGGCATCACAGGGGGGAACAAGGGTTGGGAGTCTGTCAGCTTTTTGTATGAAATGAGAACTACAGATAAAGCCTGAGGTTAAAATACTAACATCCCAGGATCACTTTCCAAGGTGCCATCAAAAGAAGTAGGATGACTCCATCTTCTTACAGGTATATAAAGTAACTGCTGAAGTGAGTTTTGTGCACTACGTTGTGTCAATGTTTTAAGAACCTAGATGTTGATATCAGTTCTACAGACCCAAGTCTCACACTCTGGTGTAAAGCTTTGGCACTCTATTGGGCTAGTGCTGCTGTACTACTTCCATATGCAAATGTGTGCTTCTGACAGCATTGATCTGCACTGCAATACAGGCAGCCACTCAAAGTGGCACAGCCTGGGGTATCTGCATGATTCCCTACTGCACAACGAAGATGTGCTCTGGGAGACCTGTAAAGAATTACGAATTTTCAGTTCCTTCACCAGCCATTAATCTATGAGAAGTGTACCAGGGACAGCTAAAGCAAAATTTCTCTCCATTTTAAAGGAAGAACTTAGGAGAGTATTGGTCATGATCTATGCATTTTCCCGATACATTTCTAGGTTTACTGTATTTTCAAAGCTTAACTGACAAACCTAATCAAACCTAGTTACCATCCTGTTGTCATGATCATCAGAAAAAAGAAGAAGCTTTCTTTCAAATACAGCAGCTGATTTCAAGCAAAAGTTTCTCTTTCTCACTAACACTCTCTTAAACAAGTTGCATTGGGCAATCAAAGTCAATCTTCAGAAAGCCACAAATCAGACATCATGCAATGATATCCTGTGTCTTTTTTTAGAGTGCTTCCTCTTTCCTACTTTAAATAAACCGAAAGGGAGCACAGTTTTATTCACAGTATATGAGAAATAGTTCAAATAGCTATTTCCTCAAAATCTTCACTACTTGATAAATGATTGCAAATAAAAATGTAAGAATTCCTGCACACTGAGAAATCATGACTGTTCTTTTTCACTTTTATCATAACTATTCCAAGCTTATATTCAAAACGAAATTTTCAGCATCAAAAAATGCTTAGCTCTTGCAATCCTTGCAAATCCCTTCCTAAACTGGCAGTAGAATAATGGGTTATGAAACACCTTTTCCAGGCCAAGTTGCTACTCATCTCAGATCACAGTTCTTGGAATTTCCTCTCTCATGACTACCATCTTCTCCCTTCTGGCAAAGAGCAAGAAAAATGCAGTAAAATATTTTCTCAAAGGAGTCACTACACATGGCTCTGCTGGAGGGTCCCGTAACAGTCACTGCAGCAGTCTCCAGAGTCTTGGAAATAACGCAGATGAAGCAGGGTGACAGATAAAGTCTAACTTCTTCACCAGCACCACAGTGCTGGCACCACTGAGGTTACTCATCTGTGGCCCACGACCAAAACACAGCAAGTAGCCCCAAGAGCAAACAACTGAAAAGGTCTCAGCACTATTTTCTATGACTACTCCATGATATCAAAAATACTTCACATATCAAAAATGGAGGGAAAAAAGTGTTGCCTTCCAAAGTCAGTGACTTACAATGGCAAAAGAAGACTATGTCTGTGTTAACAATCAGAAATATTAATTACAATCCACCCACATAAGACACACATAAGATCTAAGTAGCACTTACACATTTAAAAAAAATTATTTGTGGTATAATTTTAATATTATCATTATATCTCAACAAGGAAGATCCAGCAGATGAGACATCACTTCTGTATTCTCTAATACCAACTTCTGCAAAAACATCCCACAGAATTCAGTGATTTCTTTGGGATTTTATTAGCTTTTCTTGTCTTTTCCTCTAAACCACTGCACACAAGTTATTGGGTGGATGGGGAAAAAAAACCATGAGAATTTTTTACTCCCACAGTAGTTTCCCACTTCTTCAAAAATAAACATACCATCATGTTTTTACACTTGCTGTAAGTTCCGCTACGTACAATTTTGAGGGGGATGGGGGTTTCCAATTTATATACGCAGTGGTATATACATTGCAGTATCAGTGCTAGCAGGAAGCTGCTCTCTAAAAAAAGGAAGCTGCCTGCCTGCAGCTTTTTGAAGGCACAGCCCAGTTTAACCCCATATGGGCCCACCTACTTTCCTCCAAAGCTGGGCCCATCCAGTCTTTTCAAGTGTGCTATGCAGTTCCAAGAAAGAGAATAATAAAAGTCAGAGTAAGTGTTGATTGCATCCATGCATATGCCTAACTCATAATGCAGTAACTATGTAAGGTCACATCTTTCTAATGCTGAAGGTCAAGAAAAACTTTGCCTGGTAACTGCACATAGATCACATTTAGGCTATGGCATTAAGAGGCTTTCTCTGATTCTCAGGCAAGATGATGTATGTCTTGCTTTAGACTTATTCGTCTCCTTCACAGTAGACAGCAAAAGGAGATATCCTACAATGGGAAGTCAGTACCTTTGACATTAGAGCACTTTACACTTTATTGAAAAAAGAAATATTTACAAGGAAGCTGCATAAACGTATCTGCCTTCCCAGTACCCATATTTACTAATAACACAATCTAAATACAATTGTATTCTCCTATTGTGTCATGTTCTGATGGCATCTGCAGCAGGCCTTGAAAGGCCTGCCAGAAGGTCTTTGAATTATTTATAAGGAAGTCATCATCATTCTCCAAGTCATTGGAGAAGCTCTCCATATTTATGGATTGAAAAAAACAAACCAGAACAGTGTAACAAGCATAACAGAACAAAAATAACCCCAAAGAAAGAAAAAACTTACAAACAACATTTACACTTCAGTTTCAGGCAAAATCCACATCTGTTAGCATGGAAGTGAAGCAGCATTTTTTTATCAACACAGAAAAACATTGTGCCATATGAAAATAAAAGAACAATGTACAACCAACTTAAAAATATGTTTTTCATGTTTCTTCTTTACTTCCTATATTTCCTTCTGTTTGTATAATGAAAATCATAGGAATCAGATTTTGCTTTGAAAACGGTTGCTTTGATCTAAAATAACCCATTAGATTGAGACCATAGGAGTAACAGAAGTTTTTAAAAAGTTGATGTAAACCAAAAGATTGATCAAGCACTAACTGAAAACAAAATTCATTGATGACATTGAATCATTTTGGAAAATTCAGTCTTGAAGGCACAAGTATATGGAGATTTAGTCCTTAATTCCTTATGGCCGTGAAGTCAATATCATTCTCATAACTGACAACGTACTTGATGTAAAATATTATAAAATATTTATAAATGTAGCCACATACCATTCTTTGTACAAATGCGTTAATTTTTAGTCTGATTTTCAAGGGAAATTAGTTTTGTGTGCTTATTCCGCTTGTCTCTCAAGCTCCCCCAGTATTTAATTCCAGTAAGTAATTCAAAATTGAAAAAGGTAGAGGTCCCCCTGCTCAGGGAAGAACAACTCAGATTAGTGCCATCACTGAGAAAAGAGCTTCAGCTGCAACAGACCTGTGTGGCTGGTGCCAGCCAGCACACTCACAGCTCTATTTCATATTCAGGGAGAAAAATAAAGGCAAAACCAGAAGCCTTAAAACTACAAACACCTACACCCAACTCAGTGGTACTAATCACAACTCAAAAGTTCAGCTTAGTAATGCAGCAACAGCCAATTTCCTGCAGAAAAGAAAAAAAAATAAAAAAAAAAGAAAAAAGAAAACCAAGTTCTACTAAAAGTGTATCAGCGTCTGTTTTAAAGTTGGTGTGTAGTGAATTGTCTCTATGTTTATCAGAACTCCGTGTCTTGAAACAGCTCAAACATGGATTCTCTTCAGTCCATTTTATTTTAGATATCAACAGAATGGGCACCAGTTTCTCTATATTTTTTATTTTTATGTCATATTTAAGACAGCTTAGTAGATATTAAACATATATAACAAATGATTTATTCATTATTCTGATTCAAATGATCGTATTATCACTTTCCCTTATGCTGCCATAGTACATCTCAAGAAGAAAGAAAGATTTATTATTCTTCTATCACCATAAATACACCAAGGAATAAAATCCTAAATTTCAGAGCTTTTGTTAAACGGTTTTCAGCATGCAATTAATAACCAGTCAATTCAGCAATGTGAATGTTATTGGTATTTTAATAGATATTGCTTCTTTATGACTATTGCAAAACTGCTGTCACTGGGGGGCTAGGGTGGGTGTTTAACTCTTTCATTTCTTCTCCTATTTCCCTTTTTGTCACCAAGTATTTAAGATTCTACTTTTCCCCCTTGTTTGTAATATAATAATTTGCGCTACTTCTTCCTTCTTATGACCCTCCCTTCCCTAAAACTATGCATATCAAATTTTATTCTGACCCTACAATGCATTTTCAGTGGAAAATAGCAGTGTGCTCTGAATAGTAATCCATTGCAACCTCATTTTAAGGGGAAGGAGGCAAGACATATAACAAAAACCATAGAGTGAAATAGCTGGAATTCCACCCCCTGGGAAAGGCTGGATGGCAGAACCACTGTGCAATGCTGCTGTAAAGAAATGCAAAGTAAGTATTATTTTACTTTATATAATACTTCTTTTTTTATTTGAAAGCACTGGTGTAGGATAATTTATACTTAGAAGTCTATATTGTTCAGAAGTCACACTGGCAGCCTTAGACTTGAATAAGAATTATTTCAGACATTAGAATACTCTAAAGCAGGTGCAGAAAAAGAGAATCTTGGAACTATCTGAAGCCCAACTGTCCACTAGGAAATGCAGGCAAAGGCACTGCACAATGGCAAGTTTATTGTAAAATTCAATATTGTGGATATTTACTTTCAAAACCCTTTAACTGCCTTCACACGCACACCACCCACCACCCTTTCCTTCCATCACTTCAGACACATCTCTGATTAAGGGACTAACTACATGCTCCAGAGTCATCCAATTCTCCACCATCCACTTCTCAAATTTCATCTAAACACATTCCTTGTAAAAGTCAAATCCTTCTTATCCATTACTATTGTTCATCTCAGATACCATGCCCCAGAGTTGTAATTAAATATATTCCACTAACCTCTAGTTACATAGAATATATTCTATTAGCATATAATCATGTTCCTATCCTGTTACCTTTCCTTTTGAAACTATTTCTCCATGTTTTCTCTATGGAAATGCTAGCTCCATTTCATAATGGCTTGTCAATGTATTTTGCAATCAACTTTGTGCTTTATTGATTATTTCCTTTGCCAATTATCCAGTTTCCCTAGTTTCCTTTTTTACATCTTTACTTAAATTTATATACCTTTATACAAAAATCAATATAAAAGAAAAAACACCTCACCACTGACATGCTGTCTTTGTTAACTACAAACTAATATTACCTACATAGAAAATTCCTGATTTGCCTCTGCTTGAAATAATTTTTCACTGTAGATATATATGGAATAGAGATAATTCCTTCTTTCTTATTATTTTATTTATCAGTGATATAAGAATATAATACTATTGGGGAAATTGATTCAGGTTTCCACCAAGAATTAAGTACAAAGAATGGTCAAGTGAAAACTGATTTAAAAAAAAAAAAAATGGAAAAAGAAAACAAAAAACTTTAATTCTAGAGTGCCGGTTCCTGTCAGATTTCCATGGAAAACATTATAAAAAGCTTATAGGTAGCTTTGTAGGATTTTATGTTTTTCCCCAAAAAGAAGATAACTAAATTAAGACATTTCAGAGATGGCACTTTAAAATCATACCAAAAATCCCACAGAACTTTAGAGAAATTTTAGCAGCAATGGTGTAAGAAAGCAGCCAGTCAGAAATACCTGCCCAAAACCTACTTGCTTTTCTATGCAACATCTGTACACTCATCTTAACTAGCATGTCAATTCCCATAACTCTATAAGTAGAGAAAACAGCAAAACAGCCTTGGTTTCACTACAGCTCAAGAAGGAAAGGAGTGGAAGTTCCCAGTCACTACCCAGCAGCCCAGCACATGACACCTACGCAGTGGAAAGCTGAGACTTGAATTTCCTCTCATGTGCTACTTTTCTGTAGTACTTTCAGTTTTTCTGGGGTATAACTGTAATGGAAAACACAGGGCTCACCACAGTCCCCAGCACGCTTTGCCTGCACGTAGATGCGAAAGAGAAGAGCTGAAGCAGCTGTTTGCTGCCGTGGCAGCACAAAGCAAGGACAGACTCCAGTGTGCCAGGTGTCCCAGCTGTGAGACTACATGGTCCTTAAGACATCGGTAAGTTTTATACAATGCTGTGCTCTATACTATATATTTCTATGTGCTCCTGGTGATTTAGGAAGCCTATACACCTCAGAGCAAACTACAGTGAGAGCATCTCTATGCTAAGTATTGCTACTGCAGTGATGGCAGAGTTCAACCACTGAGAGACATCTAGCTGTACATGATTTAGTCAAAGTCATTCAGTACTATGTTACAGAGAAAGCACATTTAAAATGGTAATGCAGTTTATAAACTCACTGGTTCTTGTGTGTACTGTGTCATACCTAATCATATGTAACTAATTGATATCATCCATAAGGAAGATTATGTGGTGATGGCTTTATACAGTGCTGTAGTGGAAAAACAGAATAAGAGGTTGACATTTCACATTATTATGGTACCTGATTTTTCTTTTTTTTTTTCTCCTCGAGTGGAAAACCAGAAAAAACAGAAACATCAACTTAAATGAAGTGAGATGGTTTCAGTATTGTGCAGGCATGTTTAAAGTGATACAGTACACTGAGAAAACCTAAACACAAATTAAAGTTAGCTTTCCAGAGATTCCAAAGCTTGAATTTGCTTTTTGGGGTCAGCGCATCCTAAACTCAGGTTTTAGTCCTCAGGACATCAATAATGAAGTTTCAAAGGCAGTCAAAGATAAGCATTTTGTCTCAAAGATTTCCTTCTCAGTCCCTTTTTTTCCAAGTTAACCAATTAAACAAACTGAAAGCAATAACAACACTGAAATTCCAAGAGTAAGAGGCCATTTGAATTACAATAAAACAGGTCTTCTGCTAGCTTATGCAACATAAAGTATTTTCAGTAACGTCAAAAAAATAGCAGGTTTTTGTATATTACAAATAAAAATAATTAGGAAGTGCGAGTTCTTATTTTCAGACCCATGGGATTTACCATCTTCAGAAAATGTGGTTCAGGAGTGTTTTCAGTGTAACTCCTGCTGGATCAAAACTGGTATCCTGGTACTTTACAGGCGAATGAATGTTTCTGCTGCAGCAAATTAAATCCAATCCTACACTGAGTTTCTTAGTCTGACGAATTTAAGCTTTAAGTGGATTGGTAGGGACCTGATGCACATAAGCCATGCAATCCCTTGAGAAACGATTTTCAAATTAACTAATAAGATATTACACTGCTTACAGCTTATTAGAAAGAAACACTGAGCAGCAATAGCATATAGCTACTATGCCTGGGATCTAAAAGGTGGATTTAGCTGTCATGTCCATAATTTTAATGCATTGGTTATGTAAAGGAGTAAGTGAGAGGAGGGTTTAGTTTCATACTAAGGAAAATAAAAAGGCTCTATGGGATGTAATTGCAGGATTAGTAAAAAGTATAAGGCAGCTTTGCACCACTATTTACATGTCAAGGCAATTTATAGAAATCCTCATATAGAAAACTTCAGTAATTGAAAATGAGATTTAAAAGCAGCTTGCTCTTAAAGAATAAGCAATATAATTTTTCATGTCAAAATGTTATGTGTAGGTAATAAACTGGCAAATTCTCACAAGAGACTTTAAAGGTCATCTCCCCATGGAAAAGGAATAAGATATGACAGCTCCTTGAACAATATTGATAGTTTAGGCAGTAGTACCTGCAAGTTTCCAGATATCCAAATGATAGTCTACATGTTCAAAGGATTTCTATGCATAAGAATATTTTGACAGTATTTACTATTCATCCTGAGATGAAATGCTTTGAGAATAACCTAGCAGAGTTAGCATAGGTAGCATCACAGTACACAGATAACACTTAAGCACACAGAAACTATAAAGACAGACAAGTTGGGCAGAGAAACTACAATATTTAGGATTCAGGACAGAAACTGTCAAATCCAATAATGATATATACAATCCTGAACACAGAAAATGAGGTTATCATAAAAATAATCATTAGCAAAGCGGCCACCTCAAAACTAGAATGGCACAAAAAATTGAGCTTGTGCACCAGAATGCATCAGTAAAGACTACCAAGTTAGCAGCTAAATTTAGGATAAAGAAGCACTAAGGAAGAAAACACAGGACGAAAGAATTAAGTGTCATTGACTGTAGTCTCAGAGATATGTCATGTACTGGTGGAACAAGTGATCTAGCTGTACATGATTGCAAAAAGGGGCCATTCAAAATGAAATATTAAACACTACAGAGAACTGAAGTGAAAGTGCTTTACTTCGAATACTTATAAAGCCACTGACTACTGCCTTCTAATTTGTGAAACCAATTTCATAACTTTCCCACTGAAACAGAAAAAGTTACCTTCTCTTTTAATATATATGACATGTTAGAGGAGCTGAAAATTTAATAAATGCATAAACAGTTCATTTGAAAATGAAGGTTATTAAAAGAAGTATTTGATGTCTGGCATGTAAAGTTTTGACTTTTAGCTGTGATGCTCATGGAGGTAGATTACATTCTGTCACACAGCTATCCTTGCAGAAGTCCTTGCACAGCTATTCTCCTGTCCTAAAGTGATACATATCAACCTTGCTGTCACATACCATTAGGAGAAGAGCTGATAAAATGTACTGGGATCCCAAGATGACATAGCTTCTTTCATCATGTTTGTCACAATATTGATTAGATTAGGTCGGAAGTCCTCCTTTGGCCTCCTACTGACCCATCACATCTCCTGGGAAATTCTACAGAGTAGGAAACAGAATCGAAAATGACTGGAACAATAGAGATGTTCAAGATGGTTATAGCTCATGGGACTAGCACAGATGTGACAAGCGGTGATTTTTACTAACTATGCATTCTAATCCATTAATCCCAAACTTGACAACTAAATATTACATCATCTTCTTCACAGTAGATTTTCACACAGCCTTTGGGAGTTCAATAGCACTAAAATAGCACATCAAATATTTTTATTTCTTTCATTGGATTACATAACAACATGGTCAATGTGCTGCCTAGTTCATTTCACCCACCAAAAATTTAAGGAGTAAATAAAGAGCAGTTAGATTTACTCTCTGTGGAGCTTTATATCAATTGGCTTCTTCAGCATGTCTATTTTTAGATATTACACACATGCAGGATAGCTGATAATACTTTTAATTCAGAGAACTATGCAACTGAGCCATATGGCATTCATCTAATCATAGCAGTCAATAGCTAAAGACCCCCGCACCTGTTCTTGCAATTTCAATAAGCTTTACTTACTGGCATTAAACACTTCTAATATAATACATGCCCTTCATTGATGTAGCCTTTGTATATGACAGATTTGGCAGTTCTGAAGGCACAAAGGACTACTGTGAATTGCAAAATGTATTTTTTGATTTAGACAGGATGGAGGCTAGAGGTTTG